AGATGAAAAGGGACAGGCATCTGCAAGTCCAGTGAGAAAAAAGAGGAGAGGATACCCTCAGCTACGGTGGGGGGAGAGGAGGAGGTACCCCAGAGTCAGCTTTGATTTTTTCAGTGTGAAGGTCAACAGCTGAGCACGGGGTGGGCAAAGAGGGTACAGGTAGTCTGAGGAGAGAAAAGGTGGTACGGGGTTCATGCTACTGGGGATGAGGGTATAAAGAAACCAGAGAAGTTAAAGGGAAGCAGTGAACCTAGTCCAGTGATGTTCTCCAGGAACAGTCTGTCAAGTAGAGGGAAATGGTAGGGTTCCAGCAGGTCACAGGCCAAGGAGTTCAGGGGCTTCGCCTGAGAGTCATGAAAAAGCCACAGTGCCAACTCACAGAACTCAGGCTATCCTAGGAGAAAAGTGAAGTCAGAGAGACCCGATGATGGGACAGGGATGGAATCCAAGAATTGATAAGGGATGGTGACAGAACTATGGCAATAGAAGATAGTCAAGCAAATGCAGGCAATTTTGGAAGAAGAGGTCTCAAAGAAATCTGCACTGTGAACCTGTGAGACAGGGTGTTAGGAGAAATTCCCATCAATATTTACTATGACTGCTGAGAACAGGCTGCGTATCTAGAAGACAGCAATTCAGTTCCACTTCCCCTTTGGATGCAAAAAGCTACCGACAGACAGTATACTCTGAGTTCTAACCACAAGGATGAGACAGGGTGTGACAATCTATACAATTGTAACTCTGGGCCTTCAGACAGCTGAAGTGACTAAACTACCAGATGTACTCTACAAAAAAGTGCAACAAATCCCTCTAAGGAGAAAGGGACACACTCCTTGTTTCACCTTTAGCAGGGAAGGAAGTGGAAGAGGCCATAAAAGCTTTCAGAAAAACAGGTGAACTTGTAACAAATTCTGAAAGTCTAACATGGAACACCTGCAAACACCAAGCACAGGGGTGTTCCCACTCAATCCCTGGAGATCTATGCCCAGGGTCAGGCCTGATCCACTAGCTGAGAGGAGGGTAAAAAGCCAAGCCCTCTACCCTGGAGAAAAGTGGGCACTACACACAAGCCGGAACCAGCACAGGACAAGGCACAGGTCAGACTCTGAAAATACAAGGTAGAGTCTGGTGGCCACAGAGCAGGGGCAGGCTTTCTGGGAAGTACAAGCACAAGGCTGCCCGAGTCAAGCTAGACAGGGGAACTGAGAAAGTGCCACCACTGGAGACCTATAACAAGTAGGAAGTAGAGAGAGACCTCGCCTCTGACTCACACAAGCACAAGGGAGCAGCAGAAAGCACTAAAGAGATAGTACAGCCAAGGCTGATTACACTGATTCAGCCTCCAGGTACAAGGAGGCAACGGCCTCAGCCCAGTACACTCTGCACGGTGTCTGGCACTTAACCAAACAGAACAAGAAAAATTGAAAGCAGGAACCAACAATTTTTAAGGAAGAAATGATAATACCAATTCTGCACAAAATCTTTCCAAAAGGAGAAGAAACAGGAACACAACCCATCTCATTTTATGAGACCCTGAAAGACATTATAAACAACACTACAGGCAGATATCTTCCATGAACACAGAAATCTAGCAAATCAATCTAGCAACATGTAAAAAGGATGTCTACAGAAAAAAATAAGAATGTTCACAACAGCTTTGTTCAAAACGGCCCCCAAGCCTAGGCAACTTAGCAAGACCTTGACTCTACAAAAAAGTTTAAAAATTAGCCAGGTATGGTGGTGTGCACCTGCAGTCCCAACTACTCAGGACACAGAGGCAGAAAGATTCTTTGAGCCCAGGAGACCGAGGTTATGGTAAGTTGGGATCATACCACTATACTTCTGCCCAGGTAAGACCCTGACTCAAAAAAAAAAGCAAAACAAAACCAACAGCCCAAATCTAGAAACAATACAAACGTCCATCAATTAATTAATTGATGAACACATAAAATGGTGTATCTGTACAATTTACTCAGTAATAGGAAGAAAAAAACTACTGGTGCATTTAACAATATGGATGACTCTCAAAAGCATTAAGCCAATTACAGAAGTTTATGTGATACTGTGGAAAAAGCAAAACCAAAGAAACAAGAATCAGGTCAGTGGTTACCAGAGGCTAGGGTAGGGGAAGGGTACCGACTACCAAGGGGAACAAGGGAACTTTATGGGGTGATATAAATGTTCTGTATCTGAACTGTGGTAGTGAATTTTTTTAAGTGAAAATGGTGAATTTTGCTGAATATAAATTATGTAAAGCTGGGCATGGTAGCTCACGCCTGTAATCCCAGCACTTTGGGAGGTCAAGGTGAGAGAACTGCCTGAACTCACGGGTTCGAGACCAACCCGGACAACTTGGTGAGACCTCATATCTACAATAAATGAAAAAAATTAGCTGGGCGTGGTGGCATGTGCCTGTAGTTCCAGCTACTTGGAAGGCTGAGGCAGAAGGATCACCTAAGTCCAGCAGGTCAAGGCTGTAGCATGCCACTGCACTCTAGTCTGGGCGACAGAGTGAGACTCCAACTCAAAAATAAATAAATAAAAATAAATTATGTATCTTTTTAAAAAAAGGCTAGTACCAACAAAGAAACCAATTTGCAAAGGCAACAGATGGTCTGAGTCTACAAACACTGACCAACACTGCACCTCTGCTGTCCTGCAGGTTACTGTTTTTGGTGAGGATAGAAAGTCTCACCTGACAGACTATTCATCATCAAAACAAACTGGGATTTGGGAAATGAGACTCCTCTCCCTTTGCCCAGGCAAGGCTGATTACAGGGAACCATCAGCACTTCCACTCGCCTCTGAACCAGGGTGAATGGCAGCAGCTTGTTCCCAAGGGCACAGTCAGGCTAAAATACAAACACAATATAATATATATAGAATATAATATATATAATATAGTATAAATAATATAATGTATATAATATAAAATACAGGGTTGGCACAATGGCTCACACCTATAATCCCAGCATTTTGAGAGGTCGAGGTCAGAGGACTCCCTAAGCCCATGGGTTTGATACCTTCTGGGCAACTTGGCGAGACCTCATCTCTACAATAAATCAAGAAAAATGAGCCAAGCTTGGTGGCGCATGCCTGTAGTTCCAGCTACTTGGAAGGCTGAGGTGGGAGGATCGCCTGAGCCCAGTAGGTCAAGGCTCTGGTGGCTGTGAGTGTGCCACTGCACTCTAGCCTGGGCGACAGGCTCTGACTCAAAAAAAGAAGAGTAGGGTTGGAATAGGATGAAGAGATAACATTTACAAAGCAAAAGAAAACGCTTTAGTCAGAGGAAGACAAGAATGCTGGCTGGACATAAATAGAAAACTATTATCAGTAATAGTAAATAGCCTTCTATTGAAAAATAGGGAAAAGACCAAACATTTCAAGTGGACACAGAGAGTAAACACAAGAAAAATAATTAAGGGATCAAAGCAAAAGATCTGAAGGAGAGAAAACTTCATACTGTGCTGCTTTTTAATCTCTAGTGAGAGGATAGTCAGAGGTCTATTCACTTCTTTGTTCATTCATTCATCTACTCATTAATTCATTATTTTGGGCACCTAATATATGTCAAGCCACGCACTGCTCTTGGTTTAAAAAAAAATTCACATGCCTTTGTGGAGTTTATATTCCAATGAAGAAGAAAGACAAAATGAGTAAGTAACTTGCACAGTAAGTTAGAAATAGGGCTGTGAGAGAGAAATACAGCAGGAAAAAAGGGTACATGGGGGGCCAAGTGAGCAATCTATTCTGTTTTGATAAACAATGAGACTCCAAGTATTAGTTACTAAAGCACCACCATAGAAACTGGCCCTGGAGTTCGGTGCTATCTTCAAAGCATCACTGGCTTAGTGGCTGGTAGTGGGCAGCAAGTGATAGGCGAGGTCCAGAATAGCAGAGACCCACATCATGCAGTGGTGAAGTGCTCCTCAAACTGTGGCCAGGACTAACACAAAAACAGTCCCACATGAGAAAACAGGAGAGAATGCTGGCTCTTATTGGCTGCATGCAACAGGATATTTTTTTTTTTTTGAGTTGGTCTCACTCTGCCACCCAGACTGGAGCGCAGTGGCCGCTCCCGGCCACCACAGCCTTGACCTGCTGGGCTCCGGCGATCCTTCCGCCTCAGCCTTCCAAGTAGCTAGAACTACAGGTGCGCGCTCCCACGCCCAGCTAATTTTTTGAATAATTGTAGAGATGAGGTCTCGCCAAGTTGCCAGGCGGGTCTCAAACCTGTGGGCTCAGGCAATCCACTCATCTCAGTCTCCCAAAGCGTGGGATTACAGGCTGAGCCACTGAGCCCAGCTTGCAGCAGGATATTAAAAGAAAGAGAGGAGCTCAGAAAATAATTAGCAGCTTGCAGGCAGAAATCCAAGGGAACAGAATAACCCTAGAATGTGGGACCTCAAATGGCAGTAAAAGACAACCCCTTCTAGAAACCCCTTCTAGATTTTTTGGAACAAGGACCCACTAAAACTCAATCTAGGTCAAAGATTGTTTTAAGGGTGTGGCCTTCCCAGCCAAGCGCTATGGCTTCAAAGCTGTCTCCATTACACTGAAGCATACAATTAAGAAAAAGCAGGGAAGAAGGAGTCAAGCTTGAGAGCTGCATCAGGGAAAGAGCTTCAGGTTAAGATGCCTACACGTGGAATTGCCTGCAACTAAACACACAAAAAGTCTACTTTCTTTCCAGGAAACTGCATCACCAAAGAAATCCTGTGCTCAGACTAAAAAAAAACCAAAAAACACCCTTTAGAACCCCAGAGCTTGCTGAATGAGTTGTGTCCAGACAAAGAAGGTAGATGTCCTATCACTAACTGCAGGTGTGGCCTGAGAAGACCAGGAGAAGATCCCAGAGGGTGGGGCATGGACCAGAAGATGCCGAAGGAGGGAGTGTTCCCTAAAAGCAAATGCAAATCAACTTTTACTGCCAATCAGCCCCCTAACCCACAGGGGGAGAAGCCAATGAGCTCCTTCCATCCATGCTGGCAGCCACTCACCACCGGCTGGTCAAGGCCACCGTGCCTCTCCTCCTTCTCCACCGTCCTGCGACAGTCCGGGCACACCCACAGCGGCAGGTGCAGCACGCTGTTGCCCTTGGGAGCCATGGAGAGGGCCAATTTGCTCGCAGTCTTAATTCCACTCTCTAAGAATGAAGAGTCTTTCCGTTCACTTCTGCACAGAAGACAATAATCCCCAGTGGGGTAGGGTGGAGTCCTATGATTCATGCCAAAACTAAAAGGAGTCTGGAATAGAAAAAAAAAAATCTGTTTTAAAAACGTGATCCACAAACCCAAGATTGTTATAAAATATATATAGTTCTAAAATTAAAATGCATATGTATGTTTACATAGAAACCTAAAATAGGAAACTTGTTGAATAAAACTGAACCTAATGTTCTAGAAATTCAAAGTACTTCAAACAAAACAGTAATATCATAAATAAGATTGCAATAGGAGTTAGAAAACAGTCCAATTAACCCCTTTACTCCGACTTCTATATTCTTTCCACCCCCATGCTGGAAAGTGTCAGCTGCAATTTTCAGACTATGAGAAAGCACCAGAATTGTTGACCATCAACAAAGTTTGAAGCCACTACTCTAGAGGCATCTGCACACAAGGGTTCAGGTTTGAGGCACCTTCTGGCTTAAGGGTGTCTGCAGATCCAAATCATCTTAAGATGAGCTCTCCCACATTCTAGATTCTAGATAAACAGGAAGCTGATGGTAGCCGTGATCCAAGGCCCAGCCTCCCTTTCAGGCTCAGCAATAATGATGATGCGTTTATCTCCAGCCACTGATATCAACATCTGCTTTTACCAACAGGTCCTAAACTGTGGGGTGAAGGAGGGGAAGGGGCAAGGGCCTCAGAGGTAGGAGAAGAAGGTGATTACACCTTAGAACCTCTCCACCCATCCTATTAGGAAAGTAAAAGGAAAGTTGTAAAACTGGCCTTAAAAAAGGGTAAAATTAGCCTTAAAAACACAAAAAAAGAAAAAGAAACCAAGGTTCACAGATCTGGAAACAGGCCTAAAGTCCCAAGGAGAGGGGGGAGAAGGGAGAGAGGAGGGTGGGGCAAGGGGTGGATAGGATTTTAACTCAAATCAGCATGATCCCAAGACTGGGCCTTCACACAACGCTGTCTCTGTATCTTTGTGGGGAAGCAACCTACAAATCTGCAGGGGAGGCTGGAGAGCAACAGGTTAGCAGGGAAGCCTGGCATGGCCTTCCAGAGGCAGCCAGAAGAGCATTCCAAGGGGCTGAGGTGACAGAGCCCCCACAGGTCTCTACTGCCCTTTGGGAGCCCTGGAGCAGTACATGCCAGGTAGGGAGAGGGCAGGACCCAGGCTAGGTTGTTCTAGCTTTTCAGTCTTCAGCTCCACCCAGAAGCTCCTCAAGCTCAGCGCCAAAGCTCAAACGAAGTGTGTGAGACAGGCAGACTGGCCCCACAGCCAAATGAGAGCTCTTATGTGAGCTCCCGCTCCATTCTTTTTTTTTTTTTGAGTTGGAGTCTCACTCTGTCACCCAGACTGGAGTGCAGTGGCCACTCCTGGCCACCGCAGCCTCGACTTGCTGGGCTCCGGCGATCCTTCCAAGTAGCTGGAACTACAGGCGCGTGCTACCACGCCCGGCTGATTTTTTTATTTATTGTAGAGATGAGGTCTCGCTGCCCAGGCAGGTCTCGAACCCGCGGGCTCTGGCAATCCACTCACCTCAGCCTCCCAAAGGCGTGGGATTACAGGCTGAGCCACTGAACCCGGCTTCGCTCCATTCTTAAAGTTCCTGCTGGCTGGCAGACAGCAAGTGAGGCTGAATGAATGATTGAAAGAATGTACCACTAAACCTCAAAAGACACTCATATATATTCTCACATGCTTTTCATAAACCAGTGATCTTTTGATCACTGCCTACTCCTGTCACATTGACAGGGTTCCTTCTGTGGGCTTTCCCAAACTCTGCTCAGCAGCCATCTAGATGTCTGGGGTACAAGGGGAGAGAATTGAATACTCTCTCTCAGTGGTGTCCTAGGAAGCTCCAGACTGCTCCTCAAACCACTGAATATCACAAGCATCAATGCCTTTTTCAATACCAGCAGATCCCAGGAGCCTGAATTACAACAATTTAAAAAAAAAATCACATTGACTTAACACTACGTAAAGTCATCTCTTTTCCCTAGGTCCTAGAAAACAGTTATCATGACAGAAAAAACAGTCACAACCACCAGACCTTTCTGGCTGCCCCTTTAGCCACAGAAGGAGATACTGGGCTCTGTGGTTACAAAGGTCCCCAAGGCTGAAATCTTAAAGAGCCAGAACTGACTTGAGATGTCCAGTTCTGTATGGGAGCCCACCATGTGCCCAGGGACTGGGCCAGACTCTGGGCCACGACAGTAAATAAAGACCTCTGCCCTAGCTGGGCAAGGTGGCTCATGCCTGTAATCCCAGCACTTTGGGAGGCTGAGGTGAAAAGATTGCCTGAGCCCAGGGTTTGAGACCGGCCTGGGCAACTTGGTGAAACCTCGTCTCTATAATAAATAAAAAAATTAGCTGGGCGTGGTAGTGCACGCCGGTAGTTCCAGTTGCTTGGAAGGCTGAGGTGAAAGGATCGCTTGAGTCCAGAAGGTTGAGGTTGGTGGCCGTGAGCGTGCCACTGCACTCCAGCCTGGGTGACAGTGAGACTCCAACTCAAAAAAAAGAAAAAAGATCTCTGCCCTCAGGGAGCTAATATCCTTGCCAAAGACAATAAATAAGACAAATAAAGGAAAAATACTGAACATTAAGCTGTGGTAACATAAGGAGAAAAACATAAAGCAGGAAAGAGTGTCTGGTTCCCTTTCACTTGGTAGACAGTGAGGCCTCCTTGAAGAAATACCTGAAGCAGGGCTGTTGTGGGGAAGCCTGGCTGAGAGCAGCACAGAAGCCTTGGGGAAGGAGGCCAGTGGCTGAGTACAGGGGGAGGCAGGGGAGCAACAACAGGAAAAAGATGGGGAGGGGCAAGGAGCTGGGGAGCTGCTCAAGTGACTCTGAGACTGTGTGCAGAGAAGAGATGAGATGGGAGAAAGGAAGGAAGAAAACAAGACTATCTGCAAATTCAGAAGCCAGACAGCAGTGGGTTGGCCCAGGGCTGTAGGAGGGGAGAGTAGACAAGACTACCAGGGAGCCAGATGTGAGGTGCGGGAGGAGAAGGATCCTCAAGGGCAACTCCAAGAGTTCTGGACCTAGCATTAATTGTAGGGGGTGGATACCTTTTCATTCCCTCAAACATTTGAGCTTAGCTGTGGGCCGCAGTGAGATTGGAAAAACAGCGATCCTTCCAAGGCTTGCCTGTAAGCTTTTTAAGGCAGAATCAAAGCATCCTTAATCCTTCCTACTACCAAGGCAACACTCTTCTGAGCATGCTATCCAGGGTCCTGCACGGTACCAGATAGCCCACCTTGGCTGGTGGTAACACATACAGCTCCAGGCCCTGTGAGCACCAAGGATAGTTCCATTCCTCATCTGCAGGGTTCCACACCAGTTTCCTCACATGCATGCATGCATCAGTCCTTGGCTGAACTCAATGTATATTTCCAGAGCTCACTCTCTCTCTGCAGCTCTCTCCTCTCCGGTACTCTGCCCTGCAAATTTACTTTGGCCTCTCCAAATTCTCAAGGAAAAACTCTCAGGTTCTATCGGGGCTACTCCCAAGCCACAGCCTACAGACTGTCTCCAGGCAACAAATTTGGCAATCCTAGGGCTCACCTAGGCTATCTTCCTTGTCTCAGGGATCATTGCCATGCCTGCCTGTCATCCAACATTGAAAAACTGTTATTCGGTATATTTTTTCCTGTGTTTAGTTGTTTAAGGAAGGAAGATAAATTCAGTTCCAGCTACTACAAATGACATTTAAAAAAATAAATGAACATTATTCCATTGTTGTCCCCAAAATACCACACACAGAGACAAAATATATAATACATATATTTATTAATGTAAGAGACTAAGGGAACCCAGAAATATTTCCATAGGAGAATATGACATCTTCCTAAGATGGCGATATTGTTGAAAACACTTTGGGAACACCACTAACAACTGAGCCCAACACCTGTGATATATTTTATCACTTACGAGTAACCTGATTTTCTATCCTCAAGTAAAAGAAGTCATTTGTGGCCTGAATGTGTGCGCATATAGGTGTGTGTAATAAAAAGATGCTAAATCACAGTAGCATTTATTTTCTCGTTAGGCTTATATTCTAGTTCTAAAAGTAGTTTCCAAAAGGAAATTCCAAATTAAACATGAAAACTCAGACTTACTAAAAAAGCTTTCAGGCAAACTACTTATAAACATGAGGAAAAAAAAAAGGAGGGGCAATTCAGGGCATAAGAACAGTAAAAGCAGCAGCCTCTTAGAGTATACAGCCACATGGAGGCTAACACAGGATGCACACACAACCAACGTGCCTGTGTAGATGCCGCATCTCCTGCTGCCTCAGCCTTCAGTTCAGGTCTGTCCACTCTCTCCTGTAAAAACCATACCTGTAATCCCAGCATTTTGGGAGGCTGAGGCAAGAGGACTGCTTGAGCCCAGGAGTTCGAGACAAGTCTAGGCAACATAGCAAGATCTCATCTCCACAAAAAAACTAAAAAATTAGCTGGGCATGGTGGTGTACGCCTGTAATCCCACATACTTGAGAGGCCGAGGTGGAAAGATCACCTAAGTCCAGGGGAATGGGCTGCAGTGAGTCATGATGGTGCCACTGCACTCCAGCCTGGTCTCACAGAGTAAGACCCCTGTTTCAAAAAAACATTTTTTTTTAATTAAAAAAAAAGTCAGGTCAGGTGTAATGGCTCATACCTGTAATCCCAGCATTCTGAGAGGCAAGGCGCGGGAAAATCACTTGCATCCAGGAGTTCAACACCAGCCTGGGCACCATAGAGAGATCTCATCTCTACAATAATTCAACAAAGTAAACAGGTGTGGTGGTATGCGCCTGTAGTCCCAGCTACTTGAAGGTTGAGACAGGAGGACTGCAGGATCCCATGAGGTGGAGGGTGCAGTAGCTGTGAGTGTGCCAGTGCACTCCAGCCTGGGTGACAGAGTGAGACTCTGAGTCAAAAAAATAGCTGGACACAGGGGTTTAGGCCTGCAATTCCAGCACTTTGGGAGGCAGAGGCGAGAGGATTGCCTGAGCCCAGGGGTTCCAAAAAAGCTTGGGCAACTTAGCAAGAACTCATCTCTACAACAAAAGAATTAGCAGGTCATGGTGGTATGCACCTGTGGTTCCAGCTACTTGGAAGGCTGAGACAGAAGGATCACCCGAGGGCAGCAGGTTGAGGCTGCAGTGGCTGTGAGCATGCACTGCACTCCAGCCTGGACGATAGTGAGTCTCTGACTCAAAAGAAAAAAAAAGTCTCTCAAATTGCATTACTAAACCAGAAATTTCTCTGCCTTAAACTCTTTTGTTGCTTCCACTGCCTAAAAAGAACAAGTCCTCAGCAAAGGATCAAGCATGACATGCAAGGCCCTTAGTCACTACATCCCTGCATAATTACCCAGTTGAAACTCCTTACAGTTACACACTCCTGACCCATCCAGCTATGTGGTTTTGTCTCCTCTTCCTTCCTGAATACTTGCCATTTGCACCCTAGATCACCAACCTCCCCTTTCTTTACCAGACAACTGCTAGGCACCCCTTCAAACCCCACTGTGGTGTTCTGGGAATTTTGCTCTTCACCCCTCAACCAATACATGTCACCACACAGCTAATTTCTACAGCTCCTGTATAACATCTACACTCTATACAGGTATCTTATATTTATTATACCACAAAATCATATTTCACATGTCTATCTTCTCATTAGACACAACATTTTTAAAGTCCTGTAATGAAACCAACATCCAGTAGGCAACCAGTAAGTGCTCACTAAGGGAATTGAAATGGCTAGTCCAAACCAATAATTCACAATCTGTCTTGCCTACCTCAACTACAATCGTCTGAATTTTTATACATGATATTTTTATTAGCTACCTGTGCTGACATCTAGGGATCACAACACATGCAATCACTAAGACACCTGCATCCTTCTCCACTTCTTTCCTGAACTCAGCTTTTCCAAAGCATATGCAGGTTCTCTAAGCAGGCACTGCTTGGAAATAATTACTAACATAAACTTAAGTTATCTTCTAAGTGGTTACCAAAAAATTGATAGCAAAATCACCCTGTGAGTTAGGCACAAAATTGCCTTAAGTACATAATGCACTGCTGACATAACTTCTGCAATCTTAAAAAGTAAATATTTAGCAATTTATAGTTCCAAGGTTGTTCCCTGGAAACTCAATAAAATTCAATAAACATTAATTACTGATTCCATATCACTATAGGATCCTTTTTTTAAAGTTAATATGAGCCGGGTTCGGTGGCTCACCCTGTAATCCCGTGCTTTGGGAGGCTGAGTGGATTGCCTGAGCCCACAGGTTCGAGACCCGCCTGGGCAACTTGACGACACCTAATCTCCACAATAAATCAAAAAATTAGCTGGGCGTGGTAGCACACGCCTGTAGTTTCAGCTACTTGGAAGGCTGAGGCGGAAGGATCGCCAGAACCCAGCAGGTCGAGGCTGCGGTGGCCGGGAGCAGCCACTGCACTCAAGTCTGGGTGACAGAGTGAGATGCCAACTCAAAAAAAAAAGTTAATACGAAAGTTAGTTTTCCTTAGAATTTACTTTTGGGGAGTGGTTCAGAGTCTTGCTCTGTTGCTTGAGCTGGAATGCAGTGTCATACTTTTAATTTCAGTTTGCAATTAGAAAATTTTTTTAGAGGCCAAAAAGAACCACAACCATTTTGTCTTACTGCTCCTGAACTGGCCTAGTTGTAACAACCAGTTGTTCTAAAGATGTTAACAGTATGGCTTTATGGCATTAATGAAGGAACAGTGGTATCTGCTATCTGCTGAAACCACAGGGAAATACAGCAAAAGAGCAAAATAACGTGAATTTATTAATAGCAGATATACAGCTCTGGAAAGATATATTTCTAACATATCTTCACCAATCTTTAAAATTTCACCAAGGTCAAATGAAAAGTTGATATCACCTGTGCCCTACTAACTTCTCAGAATGCAGTGTGCATCTCCTTCAAGATCTGAAGGTACCTGAAAATCACAGTGACCAGTCGTTTTGTAGGATTTAACAGTCTTTACACCAATACCTAAAAATCACCAGAGGAAAAATAAAATCACTTAAATAGAAGAGAGGTTGGAAAAGGCTTTTATTCCGAAATCTTAAATGGGATAGGTAGCAACTAAAAATTAGGGGACCTGAAGCAATTCTAAGGCAGTCATTTGTAAACCTGGAAGGCTTAAGTCCCCACCTGGCCCTCAGGTCGACCCCCTGCCACCACCATCACCACAGTCGCCTGACAGCAGGGAGGCATTTGGCCCAAGGGCAGCCAAACCAGAAGATAGTCAGTGACCTGAAATAATGATGACCACAGACAGTACTTGCTTCTTAAAATAATCCTTTATTTCCTATTATACAGCATTGATAAAGCTAAGTCAGTCTCCAGGACTGTTACTAAAATATTTAGGGTCCATGAAATTCACATCTGTAATTCCAGCCCACTTTGGGAGGTTGAGGCAGGAGGACTGCTTGAGGCCAGGAATTCAAGACCAGCCTAAGCAGCACAGTGGGAATCGTCTTTACAAAAATAAAAAATAAAAAAAATTTGACTAGGCATGGTGATACATGCCTGTAATCCCAGCACTTTGGGAGGCCAAGGTAGAGGACTGCTTAAGCCCAAGAGTTTGAGCCAGCATAGGCAGCACAGCGAGACCTTGTCTCTACAAAAAAATAAAAAAATAAAAAATTAGCTAGGTATGGTGGTAAACACCTGTAGTCCCAGCTACTTGGGAGGCTGAGGAGGAAAGACAACCTGAGCCCAGCAGGTCAAGGTTGTGGTGAGTCATGACCATGCCACTGCACTCGAGCCTGGGTGATAGAGTGAGACTCCAACTCAAAAAACAAAACAAAAAAAACAAGCCCAAACACAAAGGCAAGCAGATGAATTAAGGCAAAAAGGCACCAGAACTTTCGTCAAAGGGCACAGGGAAAGGGCCAAGGTCTCTGGGCCCAACAGGGAGGGACTTGAGAAGAAGAGGAGCAGTGGAGTAGATATGGAGAGCTCCAGCTCCCATCACTGGCAGGTACCAGAACAGACTTGCACGCGGACATTGCGGGAGGCCAGGGACAACAATATTTAATGCTGCACAGAATGAAAGAAGATGGGTATATTCACATAGTGCTGCGGTGGCATGAAGAGTTAGTAATCTTTCTGGAAAACCACATGGCAGCACAGACTCCCAGGACCCCTGCGACCCACCCATCTACCTTGCCTGTGCCCTTCTGCTCTGCTCTCCTCCAGCTGTTACCGATCAACTACCTCCTCACCAAGCCGACATCCAGCAACACCCGGTCCTCACTCGAGGACTCTGCTCTGCTGATTCTGTCTCCTTTCCACATCACCAGTTTTCCTTCTTTCTTGCATCATTTCCATTAGGACACAAACATGCTGTGTCTCCTGTACTGAAGAAACAAAACACTCTCCTCCTGATGGCATTTCTGATCCAGTTACTTACTGTCTATCTTTTCCTTCCTATTCAGCAAAACTCCTTCAGAGCTGTCTACTTCAGCTTTTTTTTTTTTTGAGTTGGAGTTTCACTGTCACCCAGACTGGAATGCAGTGGCACACTCACGGCCACCACAGTCTCAACCTGCTGGGCTTAGGCGATTCTTCCTCCTCAGCCTTCAAAGTAGCTGGAATCACAGGTACAAGCCACCATGCTCAGCTAATTTTTTTATTTATTATAGAGACGAGGTCTTGTCATGTTGCCCAGGAGGGTCTCAAACTCATGGACTCAGGAAATCCTCTTGCCTTCGCCTCCTAAAGTGCTGGGATTACAGACGTAAGCCACGGCTCCCAGCTCTTTCTAAGAAAAATATAATGCAAGCTGGGCTTGGTGGCTCAGCCTATAATACCGTGCCTTGGGAGGCTGAGGTGAGTGGATTGCCTGAGCCCGCGGATTCGAGACCCACCTGGGCAACTTGGTGAGACC